AAGAAAGGGGAAGAAAAATAAAACAAAGGAAAAGAAGGGGAATGAAAACCGTGCATTTAACATGTGCGTCCGAACTTGGACCGCTGCCTTTAGACGTCAAATCAGGGGGATCTTACTCGTAGCGGCGCTACGGTCATTTCCTCTTCTTTTCTTTTCTCTTATCAGTCCTCATCTTGCTAGCCTTACAAATTCTAGTCCCCCATCCAGTCAAGTCGCAGGGGAACCAACGGCCCTTTTCCGAACATTGGCTGCAGACTGGCAGCCAGACCTTTCGCGTTCGACTCATTTCTGATGTGACGGACTGAGCGCTGCATGGAGGGACCCCAAAAGAGGGGCAACCCGCTGCCGCTTTGGTAGGAGGCTTATCACCTTCCTTGAAAGGTCATAACCCCCTCCTTGCCATCGGACACGGGCACCCATCGGTGGTAGGCCGTACGCACTTTTTGAAGGGAGGAGCGCGACAGTCGGTATCCCGTTATGGGACCACTCTGCACTGAACCCACAGTCTTTTCAGGTCGGGATAAAGAAACTGTGGGCAATGATTACTTAAAATGACCACTGTTTTTTTTTACTATTATAAGATAAGATTATTATTCTAATGCGGTTCGATTTTATTTCCCTTTCCCTTACCGGTCTGAAAGTGATCCTAAGTGTCTCGTTTAGAACACTGGTAGCTCAGCAGGTCGTGATCTTATAAAAAAGAAGAGGAAGTGGTCGCGGTTTCACTATTGGCCGATCAGTTTGCGTCCGGCGGTCTGGATAGCCGAGTTGAGGATAGTGAGCTCAAGTCGCGGCCAGGTTCGAGTCTGGACGCCAGGTGCCTCAGATGGACCGGTGTCAGGCGGCCGCAGCCCACTCGGCCACCCGACATATGAAAGATTTGTCCCTCAACCCAACGCCCAGTTAAGATTCCTCGGGTACTCTGGAAAGGGCTGTCAGTAAAAGTTAGGGGTCCTAAGATGCACCCTAAAATCCCCTTCACAAACCGCAAGAACTAACCCTAGAATTTAATAAGCTAAACGGTCGCCTTTACCGTGCCTGACACCTACCTATTTCGTCTGATCAGGGGCTATCTCTAAGTCCGACGATTATGGGGTGAGGGTATGATAGTAACCCTTCGCGCGGTACTTTCCGCGCTGACCAATCGACGGGAAGTGGAGGCCTCAAATTTTGTCAAATCTAATAACGAAATTAAACATGAGAAAAGGATTGAAAATGATAAAAGGGAAAGAAACAAATGATTATTTTATTATTTAATGAAATTTTATCAGATTCTGCTTTTGATGAATTCTAGCTAAAATGATCTATTTATTCCCCCTTCATTGATTCAACGGATTCTTACTATTTATAATCTCTCGCTAGATTTTACCCGATTTCTTTGATGTTTGCCCTCGCTATATCCCGGGTATTATTATGTGAGTGGGGCCCGTGTCTTCCGGAGCATTGGTAACGTCGGCAGGTGGATCAGCGGGGCCGGTTTCCTGGTTACGGCGACGTGGTCGATATGGTGAAGTCACCGGCTCGACTTTAGGGCGGAATGCCGCCACGTAACGCTACCATTTTGGTGTGGACACTGGTTCGGGACAGGTACGGTACGGTCATTCTCCAGGTACTGGCACGGGACATTTGCTGCACAGTACGGTATTCGGCATTGAGCTGGTATGGCAAAGGTACAGGGGCTGCTTTACATGGAAAATTCCTGATACGGTGCTGGTCTGCTTCGGGGTTGCTGTGGACCACTAATTTTAGGACAGGTACAGCAGTTGTGCGAATAGAAACAACGCTTGGCCGGGATATGCTGGTATTATTGGAAGAGGCCATTATCGTTCCGCTCATTCTTGATACGGCAATCTCGGCCATCCGGGTGGAAAACTGTGGTACAACAGGGTGGGGCCAGACCTCGGCCATGGAATAATACTRGGTGAGATGGGCTGGTCCTTCTCTCCTGGCCGAAGGCTGCGGCTACTCCAACAGGAGGGTTTACACCACTTATCTGGTCACGATAGAAGGAGGGCGGACCGGATTAATAACTGGATACCCACGTGGACCAGAAATTACGGGCCTAGGGCCTTATTATCTGCGGCTGGTACTACTCCGCCTGGGCCTGGTGTAAAGGGGGCCTACTATGCCCAAATATAGCCAGGACGGTGAAGGGGAGGAGGCATGCTGACTGGGGATTCATTCAGTGCATGCTCGGTGTCCGCAGTCCACGCATAAGACCGATTGAGGAACAGGCGGGCGGGACAATATCTAGAAGCGCGCCTGGTGTACCCAGCCCGCTCTAGCTCTCTGAGTGGAGCTCTGATGGCCCGGTTGACGAGTAAGACGGGGAATGAGCACGACACAGATGCGGGGGGTAGAGACGACATTCGGACAGTGGGGAAAGGAAAGCGTGCCAGGCGTTCTCAGCCCGCACCGGAGACCATAGGGGAAAAGTTGTTTCGAGGGCGAGCCAGGCGTCAGCAACAAACTTGGAAAGAACGCCCGATTGACATAGGCGCGGGCCATCTGGACTCGTGCATGGCCGATGGGGGTTGGAGTGTAGCGAGCCGAGCGCACACCCGCGATACATGCTCCGCCCACAGATAGACCCAGGGAGGGACGAAGGGCTTACCCCATGTGCTAGGCGTACCTTTTAACATCTGATGAGCGCTGCTCGTGATGCTGAGGTAATGGAAGAACAGCACTACAGCCAGAGAGATCCGCGCTAGTGCAGCGAAGGACGGAGAGCGAGAGAAACGAGCAGCAAGAGAGAGAGAGAGAGAGAGAGAGGAGGCATTGGGAAATGGGCGATAGTGCGAAGGGGAGAGGGAGTTCTAGTGTATAAGACAAATTGTTGTGGCGAAACATTCGAAGGGCTTGAGGGAGATCGACTGATCTGCAGTCAAGGCTCGAATGGGGGCGCCCTGCTAACTGATCGACAGTGCGTAGCGCGCGATCGGTTCCTAGGACATGCCTAAAAAACCAAGCTGGAGTAGGAGGGTGAGAGTCCGCCAGCACGCGCGACGCCCGTAGACTCGCATTTGAATCAACTTTAGATATGTTCTCGCCAAAGGGATAGCATCAGGATGAAACTTCGACCGCTCACCCCAGTGTGAGGAACCCCGGGGGCGAAGGCGGAGAGGAAGACCAGGCTAGTAAATAGCTATGACTCAAGTAGTGGAATGGGCGAGCGACAAGTGAGAGAAGGAGAGAAAGAGAGTAGAACGAGAGAGGAGCGAATGGGAGGAGAGAAGGAGAGAGGGAGTCGAAATATTAAGTTATTCTAAGGATTTATTCATTCATCCTCTTTTCCACTGGCGGCTGCTAGCTGCATTACTGCCCCAGAGGCCAGAGAAGACGGCCAGTTCTTGAGAGGTACAGATGCGGGGGAGAGAGAGGCAGCGAGTCAGCAGTCGAGAAGGATGAACTCGCATTAAAAAGGGCAATCAGTCGAGATGTGTGGGTTCAGCTCCACTTACGTCTGAGTGCCTATCAATTGGGTCCCGTGAAGTCGACCCCAGTCGCAGTGACAGATTAGTGTGGCCTCAATGAGTGGGGGGGGAAAGGCTCGAAAATGGGAATGACAGTGTATGGACGGGGGAGAGAGGGAAGAGACTCAGAGGACAGGGGCGCGAGCCTTATCGCCCTTCCCGAGAGGACCTGATGGCCACTGTCGTCCTGGCATACTCTTATGACTGTTGAACCGGCGCGAAGCAGCTATGGATCAGACTTTGTAAGCCCGTACCATCCACATTAGGAGCCCTGACACAAGCAGCGAACCTGGTACAAGTATATCTGTGTGGGAACAATTTCGACTCAGTAAGAGGGTGAGGCGTTTCTACTTCTTGAGTAGAACCTGGTGAATACACGCACGGGTGAGAAGGCCCGTTTGGTGCTCTGAGGAATGGGTGAACAGACAAAAGGAGAAGAAAGACAGTAACACCCACTCCTCGACAGCGGGCTTAGGCACATTCTACTTATTAGCTCCGTGCGACACCAAACTGCTTAAGACAACCTTGCATGTATACTTTGAGGAGCTGCTTGTCCTTTCAATCGAGAGCATGTCGTGAAGAAGAACAGAACGGATCAGAATGAAACAGTATAGTTTATATAGGTGTAAAGAGGGAAAAGAGAGAGAGTAAGAGAGAGAGAGGAAGAGAGAGAGAGAGAGACCGAGGGGGAGAGAAGAGAGTCGCCATCTTTGAGTGAGGGCATTGGTTTAGACCGGGGTAACTTCTGAGGTCAAACAAATTCACACAAAGAACATTCCAGTCTCAGATCAATGAATCAGTTCGGGGCGTCTGCAAAGGAAGAAGAATCTCTAGTGAACAGCAGAAACTCCGACCAGATCTAGCCTGACTCGGGGCAGATGTCAAAATAATTGGATAACATAGCTTCTCTGACACAGCAGGTATTGAGCATCATGGTTTGAAAAGCAGCAATGGGCAGATGTCAAAANTGTTGTATAAGAGCAGTAAGTACGGGGATAAACTCCTTTTCCGCGACCGCTAGTGCCCCGCCATTAGCGTTAGCGGATACATGGGATAGTGGAACGCATCGGCGTTTCCAGGGAAAGACGGAGGAATTTGGGTGAAGCGGGAAGAACGGTGGAGAGCGAAATTGAAATTACAATATTCTCGTGCTTTGTCATTACTGCTTTCTTGTGTCTTGTGCATGAAGATTGTTGTTTGACCATCACCATTCATGTGATTTCTAATCGAACTCTGTTTAAAGCGCGTGTAAACTATCTTGGAGTCACCTTACCGAGATAAGTGAGCACGTTAAGGATATACTTGTGTTGACTTATACTTGTGTTGACTTTTACTTCGAAGGTGTCCGTGGAAGCGTCAAGTGGGCTTACTGGGGTTTTCGAGACTGTAGGGAAACTAGCAACATATGTGATGTCGGCACTAGCTATTGAGGACATTGATTGTCATGGCAAGTCATGGAGACCGGCGTGATCAAGGATATGGAGACCAGCGAGGTTACGTAAGCGACCATCGGGACTACCGAGGAGATCGAGGTGACAAACGCCAATACTCGGGCGAGCGGGGCTATAAGGAGCGGCGACCGAGGGGCTATAATGAGAGGCGGCCATTGGTATGCTACAATTACGATGAGGAGGGGCACTACGCTAATCAATGCCCTCATCCACGTAGGCTGGGGGAGATCTACATCACCACGACATCCTCCGGCTCTGGCAACGTCCTTCGATCCTATTCACTCCAAGGTTGCTGAGATCGGGAAGAGTGTGGTTGTTTGTCAATATGTTGAAAAGGAGCAACAGAAGAAAGCGGCAAAGGAGCGGAAGAAACAAGAGAGAAAGGAGGCGGAAGAAGGTGAGGTGAACGAGCTTCGAGAGATGGAACTGAGGAAGAGAAGGAAGGAGGAAAAAGCACGAAAGGAAGCTGAGCGTAATGAGGAAATAAACGAAAACTTGGATCTCAAAGTTGCAGTGAGGGTTGGGGAATTACGTAATGATGTGCGGGAAGATGTACAATTGGAGATTAGGGAGGCAATCAACGAGTTGTGCAAGGCAGCAGCGAAGGGCAAGCAGAAGGTTGCTCATCCGACATCATCAGGTACTGGCAGCAGCGGAAGCAGCAGCGAAACGGAAGAATTTAGCAAGCGGACGAAGAATCTGTCTATCAATGAGAAGAGGAAGCGTGGGGAGGAACCAGTCTTTGAAGACAGTCCCCCTATGGAATCACCACCGAAACGAACTCCTCGGAGGGCGGGAAAGCCAGCGAACCTGACTACACGGATGACGAGATCCAAGGCGCGCAAGGATAACGCGACAACACCAAGAAAGACTCCAGCATCGATTCGTAAGAAGAAGATACCGGCATAAATTGGTATGATTGGTCGCTTGAAGTTCGAAAAGCAGGTTATGCAGGAGCTGAAGAGCATGGATGCGTTGGTCCTGCAGAACGTGTGCCGTGATGAAGGTTTTCCATACAATGGAAAGTTCGAGGCGATTTTTGACATCGCCGCGCACCGCACGAAGAAAGCTTATGGAACATATGAGGATGAAGACCCTGAGACCACGGACGATGTTCCGAAGGAGAACGTCGTGGAAGGTGAGGACACTCAGACTACTGAGTAATGGAGTTACAGCATAGCTGACCTGTGGAAGATTGTTAGCTGCCTTACCCAATGGAGAAAGGTAAGCCAGCGGGTGGATCCGGTGATCGAAGAAATCCTGTGATTAGTTGTTGTTCGTTTATCACTATCCGGGGAACTACGTTGGACTAGTAAATGTGTTCATGCATGGGTACGATTGTATGACAGGTTTGGCACTAATTTTGTTAATATTAGTCCATGTGCTTATGTCGCAGTATCGCCCTATTGTAAGTCACAGTATGTGGGTAAGACGACTAGACATCCGGATACGAGGTGGAGGGAGCACCTATATGCCTGTCGGACACAAAAACCAAATCACTTTTATCGATGGGTTAGTATTTTCGGCATCGAAAATTACGTAGTTATACCGGTGGATACGATAGCAGTTGAGGAATTGTCGACTTTGGAAAGCGTGTATGTACGGCAATGGTCCCCGTATGCAAGGAAGATGAGCATTAGCGAACTCCAGCAATCAAACAGCATCATACATATGTGTCCAGATAGTCTTGACCTCGAACCAACAGCAGTCATGCATCACGAGATTCACCAAATCAGAACACACCAATAGTTCGTAATTGACAATGTTGAAATAGTATCTCATCATCATCAACGAAGAACAAGAGTTGATATCCTATTGGCGCTCGGCGCCCAGACTACTTGTGGCAGATCCTATCTAGCCTAATACTACAATGCCGATGTTGACAACAACAGCTCCCTGAAGTACGAGCATACAGCGCACAATGCCGCACGCTTCCAGCACCAGGTATGTCTCTCGTAACACTCACAACCTCGATCCACACCGCACAGATGCCACTTGCACCCAAGGACCACCATGCGTCACATCCAGCCTACAGCGGAGCAGCTCGGCTATGGCTGCCCGCTACCTCCCTGCTCGCCCGTGATAGCGTGAGTGCCAACCAGCCAGCAATGAGCGCAGCAGCGCTTGCGCAACATGCAGCCAACACCCGAATGTCGAATGAGGAGGCAGGCCCTTCCCTATATCGAAGTGGCCTGCCTGCGTCCAGTCCAGGAAGCTTCCGGTAGGCCCCGGTAGGCACAGGCCCAGTCACGAAGAGAGCAGGCCTTGGGCCTGAAGTGGTTGCATGTGCCCAACTGCTTTCGACCTGTGTTTGGCCCGGTACCCGTATCCAGCCCAGGGCCTGCCTCACATTCATTTACACATGCGGCCCAGGGCCTGGATTCATTCAACCAACTGGCGCAACGCAACTGCCTGAATTTCCCCAATGCGGGGTACCCTGAAGAATGAGGCCCGAAGGGCCTGTCGTGCCTGCCTTCACTTAGGGCGGCCGACCTTGTTGCAGATAGGGCCCCATAGGGGCTAAGCGGGCGTAGCCTCGCACGTATTTGAATACATCTGGAGTGAGGACAGGGAGAAAGGGTAAGAGAAAGAAACATAATAAGGGGAAAGCCGAACGCCGAAAGTTAAGACAACACTCAAATAGGGAGTGCAGAGTTATTTCCCCTTTGAGATTCAAAGTGCACGCGGCTGATGATTGGTGTCTTAATCTTATTTCCATCCTTAATCGACAGGAGGAGGTAGGATGCAGAAGTTTTTCATTGGCATGCAGTGGGGGTAACATTTGGCACAACACTTGGAAACAGGTGTCGAAGATTTTTGGCCGGTCTAAGTTGCGAGTCAATAGTAAAGACGTACAGTTTAGGAACTGTAAGCATTTGTTCGAATCGGGGGGTTCTTTTGTAGTCTCGCACCTTAGAGTTTGGAAGCCAAAATGTTCCTTTCTCAACAGTGTACTCACCTCGTTATTACGGAAGCCATACGAGATAACCCGATTCTAGAAGTGGGGCATGAACTCAGTTTTGAGGCTTTACGGCAATTAAGGATTTTACAAGAAAGTCAACCCGAAAGTATCTTCGAAGACTAATCGCACGTGTGTTTTTGGACAAATTTGGTCTTAGTCTGAGTTCCGACCTGTTGGTTAGAGTTAAGTTTGATGACCAAATTCGCTTGTGTGAATTACGTAAGGTTGTTAACGATTTGCTAATGAAGTGTGATCTACCTACTTGTTTCCTGCGACGGGCACGTAAGAAAACTCGCATCGTCTGGACTAAGAATAAGACGGTGGGCGAACTGTTGCACAATCACAGAGCGTATGCGGCTCGTAATGTGCTCACCTGCTAGTGTGGAGGTTTACCCCTTCCTAGAGTGGACAGGAACGTGCATTTTCGCTTGAAACGGGAATTCGTTGATCATCCTATGTTAGCCAATGCTAACAATGTTCCTAAGGTGCATACTGCTGATCGTTTGCGAACTCTAAGAGTGGAAATAGGAGATGGTTTTAGGAGATGGCGTAATCTTTGTGGAAATGTTCCACAGATCTTGGAGCAAGATTTGTCTGATGTTATGGTCGGTAGCAGTGGGAGTCAATATGGGGAGCTCACAATGGATTTGGTACTCCGCACTAAGGAGATGTATGACGGCCTTGTGCTTACGCCTTTAGATCGCAACCCAGGCAAGACTGTGGTTATGTGCCCTACGACGTACTATGAAGCAATGATGCATACATTCGTGTTGAATTCGGGTTACAGAGTCATTCAGCAGCCAGAGTGTGAAGTCCTGAGGGAGATTCGTGAAGATGTCTGTCGAGTTGGACTAATGAAGTTTGCGCGATGGGACTACAAGGGTCGGATCGGTAACGCGTATGTGATCCCAAAACATAAGGATCCGAGTCGCTATCGACCGATTTGCCCCACATTCGTTGAACCCATGGTTCGTACAGGTAAGGTAGTGGCACGTGGTCTTAACTTTATGCTGAACAGACTGCCGAAGGGTTGTCATCTCAATTTGCCGGCGGTTTCTCAGCTGACAGACGCACTTGGAATGATTAACGGTAAGATTAGACGTCTTGGAAGGCGTACGGAGACGGTTGTATGATCCTTTGACATAAAGGATACGTTCAGTCGTCTCCCACACGGCGACATCATCAAATCAGTGGAATGGCTAATTGATCTTCATCAGGGAAAAGGCCGAGAGTATGTGGGTGTAAACTCTAGAGGTAAAGGGTGCTCCTTCGGTTTGACGACTGGAGCTGATCACTGGAGATTACTGAGATTCGATGAAATGTTTGAGTTTTTGCGCATTGAGTTAGCACATACCTACACATATGCTACAGGAGTACTGATCAGGCAAGATGTGGGTACACCCATGGGTAAGACGACTAGTCCACCCTTGGTCTGTGTGATGTGTGCCCGCACTGAATTCCTGTTTCTGAGAAGTCTGGGAAAATATGCTAGGCAGGTTTTTGGCGTGAGGCTCATGGATGATGTCTTTGTGGTGACTGCATCACTGGCGGGACAGGATCTGTCATGGGTATGGGAGAACTTTGTTGAGTGCTATCCAAAGAATTTGTGCCTTAAGCGAACTGACAATGACTCAAGTACTTTGGACTTCCTAGGATGCGTAGTGAGATGCAGGAAAACGTATCCGTACCTGGGTTCTGTTCAGTGGAACAAGAACGAACGGAGTATATGGTCAGATGGGGAGCTTGAGTTTCAGAAAAGGCAATCATATCGTTCATGGGGTAGTAAGCAGCAGAAGAGTGCAACAATAAGTAGTCATCTGCATAGGATTGAGCAGAACACGTCAATACGGGGCGAGATACCAGGAAGGGTGTTGTCATTGATGAGAGAGTTTAGGATCAAGGAATTTCCCACCGAAACCGTTCAGAGAAATGTGCGAAGATTCGCCTTTCGCAAGGATGTGACATGGAAACGGATGGTTCAGATGTTGGTGGAATAAGGATTAGTCTGAGAATTTTTTCTTTTTCTTTTTCTTCCTTTCCTTTTTGAGTAGGCGGACTGTTGTCGTGTATGTTGATTGATTAGACAATGTAGTAACAGGGTTTGATTTCTCACGGGTTTTTTGTTGGATTTTTGTGTTGGTCTTTGCTGTCCTGTTTTAGGAATGCCGGTACCGTAGGATTGTCCGGTTCGACTAGGTTCAGATTTTTGGGCCTGGTGATATAGCCGTGTGAGTTGCCGTAGGCTTTGAACACTGGATTTAATTTTGAAGACGTCGGCTGAACATGCGGTCCTTTGAACCGCTGTCCTTTTGCTTTCTGGGTTTCCCRGGACGGTATCGTGAATGTTTTTGGGTCGGTTGTTGTATAAGAGCAGTAAGTACGGGGATAAACTCCTTTTCCGCGACCGCTAGTGCCCCGCCATTAGCGTTAGCGGATACATGGGATAGTGGAACACATCCGCGTTTCCAGGGAAAGACGGAGGAATTTGGGTGAAGCGGGAAGAACGGTGGAGAGCGAAATTGAAATTACAATATTCTCGTACTTTGTCATTACTGCTTTCTTGTGTCTTGTGCATGAAGATTGCTGTTTGACCATCACCATTCATGTGATCAGTAATCGAACACCTACGGCCTGGGGAGAAAAAAAAAAAAAAAAAAAAAAAAAGCGGACCTGAGTTCGAATCCAGATAAGAACTAGACTTGTTATTCTGGGTCGAATTCGGGCTCACCGAAGCGAGTTGGTACACTATGACCTGTTGGAATGCAGACCTGAGTTTGAATCCAGATTAGAAATACCGTCTTCGCCCGAATAGAACGCCCGGTCGTTATCGCTGCATCTGGACCGAAAGTTGTGCCACATACAGCTATAATGACCGGGCGTTCTATTCGGGTGAAGACGGTAGACTTCTTCCTATTCTGGGTCGAAGTCGGGCTCCCGACGCGTCTAAGCTCATTTGGTACACCTATGGCCTAAGTTGAAATGCAGACCTGAGATCGAATCCAGATAAGAACTAGATGAAAGGCATTTTTATTTTTATTTTTTTTAATGGATTAATGATGTTTTTTTAACTTTTTTTTTCTTTTTTTCTTTTTTTCTTTTTTTCTTTTTCTCTTTTTTTGAACTGATCAGAACAGATACTACACTTGATCTATTTTTAGCCCAAACGCCGAGCAAGGTATGAATGGCATCTTTGAATTACCTTTCAAAAAAGTCGTCGCCCTTTTAAACCACCAGTACCTGGCCCAGCTACCTAGTCCGAGCCTCAGTCGACCGGTACGCCGATCCGTGCCGCGGCTCGGACTACCGGGCGCAGGCATCCCGAACGTCGGAGTGAAACGAACGAAAACACAATTGCCTAAAGAGTAACGGAGGCGCGCGAAGGTAGGCTCAAGCTAGCGCTTTGCGCAGCTGTAGAGCGTAATGGTCAAAGCCTGCCTGACTGTGAGACCTACAAGTCGAACAGAGACGAAAGTCGGCCATAGTGATCMKGGGGCCCCGTGTGGAAGGGCTCTCGCTCAACGGATCAAAGGTACGCCGGGGATAACAGGCTGATGACTCCCAAGAGCTCATATCGACGGAGTCGTTTGGCACCTCATCATCTTGGGGTACTTACACAGTAATGTGTAGGCGCGAAGCTGGATATATGCTGGGAACTCCGCCGAGTATCCGACCAAATGACAAATGTGTCGGTGCGGACAATCAGCAGGGAAGTCATGTGTTGATACATGCGCTGCGCCCCTCAACGACTACACGCCAGACATCCCTGCTTGGGATGATGATATAGTCTGAACTTCGTGGCGACACRAAGGCTATAGGCATTGAAACCAAGGCGACCTGTGAGCTTGCTCGATTGATTTTGAGACACTAGTGATGCATTTATATGTCGCAGACTGCGCCACTTCGCCTCAATCGATAGTATTCATTTCATTCGAGTAAGAGTTATTTACTATTATTTATTGTGGTTTCAATTAACACAATTGCGATGTCGACTCATCACAT